TAGTCACTAGCCCTTCCATATGCGTATATCCCGCTAACGAGAGATCCAGACTGTCCTCTTCGTCTGTTGCGCTCTGAATGAAGTCTTCTTCATCGCCCTATACCTCCTCTCCTTCTCCTCGCCTCTCCTCTCGCCGCAGCTGCTCCAGTCTGTGGATGAGACGAAAGCCGCTGCCATCCAAACCGGAGCACAGGTTAACAGCTCGGTGCTCCGCCAGCTCTTCACCAACCCATATAGCGCCGGGGCCTTGGAAATGGCGCGAGCCAACAAGATGGACTCCACTTGGCCCTGGATTATCGCCGGCATCAGCGCCCCCGTCATGGCTATCAAGCAGTTCCTCAACATCGTCCAGCTCATCAAGGCCAGCAAGTGGCTGGCCGAGGGTGACGTGAAGATGAGGCGAGAAGCTGTCGCAGCCAAGAGCAAGAAGGGCAAGAAGAGTGCGTAAGGAGAGAGAGGCTGAGAGAGAGAGAAAGATGCGGACGCGGGCAACTTAGTGAAATCTTGACGGTGCTGCTACGAGGGAAAGGAAGAATCAGGGAGATATAAACTTATCGAGAGTGCAAGGTCTGTATAAAAAAATGGTCGCCTGTGTTGAGCATCAAGAAAAGAGAAGAGGGGGCGCAGTTATGTTGTGGTTTCTCTCTAGGGACGAAGGTTTTTTTTAAGGTATAGTTTTGGTCAAGTCGTCGCATCGGTCGGCGTGAAAGAAGAAACACTATTAGAGGGAGAAAAACCAAAAAGGGAGTTTTTATATCTTAGGTTTGTAAGTCCCGGTTCTATTCTGGTCCATCTAACTTTGGTCTGAAAGGAAAGGAAAGGAAAGGGGAATCTGTGGTGGTTTAGTGGGTTAGGCAAAAATGGCATACTAGCAGGTGTTTCCTCCTTAAGTGCCTCATTTGCCTATCAGGCATTTTTTTCGCTTCATACCTCACGTACTTTTTACATGTGGTATGAAATTTTTTCTTCTTCTTTCCTTCTTGTCTTCGCTGTATATAAGTAATTATTAATATTCGGGGGGACTTTTTTCATCCTCTCTGGGATTAGGGGCTAGGAAGCTTTATTAGCACAAGATAAAATCTGTATCAACCCCTCCCCCCTCTCCCCCTTTTTTTTTCTTTTGAATATTCTGCAATCGAGAGAATCGATTGGATTTTCTTTATGGGACACGGGTAACCTATCAGTAATGAATGGTTTGAGCTGGAACATATTATTTTATTTATTTTTCCTTTTACCTCTTCTTTTTTCTTCTTGTTGATGGTTATACGTGAAGTAGGAAGGAGGCAAGGGATAAGGGGTAATTGGATATAGAGATGGGCAGGTAGTTTAGGCACATAGGCTTTAGGTTGGGAAGAGCAATAAATGATGCTATTAGAGAACAAACAACCTAGCCATCAATGTCCTTATTCCTATTACTTACTTCTACGTCTAAGTGCCAGTCCTTCTTATCTAGGTCACGAAATTGTTGCAAGCCTTCTCTCGTGAATATTACTAAATAGAGGTCTTACTACAAGTCGCACGGCATCGAGCTTTACGAAGGGTATTACCAACATGGAAAAAAAGGTTACCACTAACTGCATGGAGGAGCATATAGGAGCTAAAAAGGTATGAGATACAAGCTTGAGGGATTGGGCGATGCTGTCTAGAACAAGGTGTAGATAAGTAACCCCACCATCTACGATATTCCCATCGCACTTAGTAGGTACTGTCTCATGGATTTTTTTCTTGGTTCAAGTCAATACTTACACACCTCCTCAAATAGAACCGGGCCTACTTAATTCCCGTCTACTCGTATCTCACCCCACCTTCAATTATCTCACGATATCAACTAGTAGCATTATGGCCTTTTCCCTCATTCTCCTCTCTCATCAACAAGTTGAGACACTCTTTGGCAGTACCTGGTAGGTACCTAGCTATATAGCTTATTGGATGGGTGACTTCCTCTCTCCATCCATTCTTTTCCACACATTGATGTGGTCTTGCCAATTTCGAAACCCATATTAGGTATAAAGCTGAACCTTATCTCTGGTAGATATTCGATTGATTAGACGGCTGGCATATGGCTAATCGCAGATCTGCCTAGGTAGATAGGCATTACCTTGTGCTAAGAAACATAACCTACATAACTTACAAGTTACACATAACATGGGAAACACCTAGCATATAAGTAGCAGCTTGCTCAACGTTTTGACTTACGCTTTCTTCGGACTTACAAAATACGACGAGGCCCCGGGCGTTGGAACCCACCAACTTATCAGATCTTCCAACCCACCTCAAAACTACACACCTTATGTCATCATTCCCGTAAGTCTAGATAAACCCATTAGTATTTTTTTTTGTTCAAGGTAGCTCAGCCGAGACATCCGGGTTCGAGATTAATTCTAGCTCATTTAGGGATTGATTCACACGAGATCAACGGTGGTTCTCGATGGTTAAGTTTGTGTTTGTAAAAGAAGAACGAACAGAGAAAAGAGAGAGTAGAAAAAAATCTACAACTGAATCGATCATCGTAACTACACTAGCTCATGTTATGTAATATGCTAGGTTAGCAGTGTAACTTTAGTCAATATTCATTTTAGCGCAGGCCCTTAGATTACTCGGCTAGTACACAGGAGCCACAGCTAATTTGCTATCTTAGAGAGGGCAAGTTCCTTCTGTCTATGTACCTATGTGGTGTGTAGCATATGTCTATGTAGAGAGGAACTGACATACTACAACTTCCTTCCCAATAGTTAATTGAAGGTTTCATCTAAGTAGATATGTTGTATGTCACAGATAGCTACCTAGTCCAATCAACTATCTAGCTTCGTTTACATAGACGGAAGAAACCGTATTTCCTCGTCATAGTCTTCCTGCCTACCAAAAACTCAAACGCCCTTGATGACAAAGGAAGTTCCTTCTGCCCACCTAGCTAGTGAATTAGCAGCAAACAAGTTTGTCTCTTCGGTCCGTTCGCAGCTTCACGAGTTCGCATCTTTCGCATGGTCAGATGAGGCCTGGAACACTGCCATTGGGTATTCCATTAGTCACGGTCCGATGCCAGGCCGGCCAAGTGGTGAAAAAGCAATCAAGCAAAGAGAAAAATTTTGTCGCGGACCGGCAGGCCAGGCCTGGTTAGGCTTAGGCTCAGGTCCGCCCCACGTAAAGCGCGTCGCGCTAGCGGCTCTGTGCGCTAAATTGAATGGCTGGGCAGTGGGGGCACTCTGGCTAGTGGAACAGTCCTCGGCATGTGATTGGCTATGTGCGCACAGACGCTACGCACAGTAAGTGGCCGGCAGAAAAGAATTTGATTCACCGCTTTGGCGACCGCCCTGGCAGAATCCCGCCGAGATGCCTATTTAAGGCCGGCCTCCCTCCCACTCTTCCTGATTCCTTTTCTTTTCTTCTTCATACGACAATGTGAGTTTACCACCCACCCCCCAACACTCGGGCTTCACAACAACACAACACCAAAGCCTACCACTCAATCAATCAACATTATGCTGACCACGTTCTTCTTTACCTGCAGACTTCAGAGAATCATTTCTATAGTATTCGTCCCACTCTGTATTCCTTAAAGGAGCTACAGAACCCACCCTGGTTGATGAGTCCATATCCCCGTCGTCCTAGAGTGAAAATTCTTGTTTTTACTGGGAACCTGCTCGCAAGGGCAGGCCTCCTTTACTCTCGACCTGTCCGCAAGGATGGCGGTAGGGCGCCCCTCGTGGTCCCTGCTGTATAGAGAGTGGTGATGATCTCGACCCCGATTTAGTCCGCGGTCTTGCCTTTGGGCGCGCGGCCGGGGTGGGCGACGGTGGACGTCTGACAGGCGTTCTTTTTTCTATCTTTTTCATTACTATCGTGTGCGTGTCACGCGTTGTGAAGAAGAAGTTTTCGGTGCATTCGGACAATTGTCTGGCTTTGGGATGGTTGAATTGAAGTATCGCGACCGTGACTCGGTTGGGGTTTGGCTCTGGTATCACGTAGATGGTATGAGAAATATCATTAGACCGAGATAGCTTTTATACTTTCTGATGGTTCTGTATGCATACACATCCCACTAATTGATGTTGTATTTTCGCGTCGCGACCGCGTCACTTTGCATTGCTTCACGATGCTGACTTGAACCTCAATTGTGCGAGTATTAAAAATCACCTGGCTCGTCCGTACCTCCGCTGTCCTTCACTGTCCTACTTCTATGTTCATGTAGGTTTATATCGTTACCTAGGTAATCCTAATATTTATTCTCCATCATTTTCTGCTATTTACTGTGCCATAAGTACCAAGCCAATAAACTATTTTGTGTTGCTATTCACAGCAAATTTTTCGCATGTTTCACTTCCTTATCGATAAGGATTGCTTGGCATCCTCAAGGTTTGCAGACTCCCACTTTGTAGCACATGTAGGACCTGTAATTGCAGCGTAACTTCTATGACATCCTGTGCAATTGGCTACCTAAGGCACAGCCTAGAAATCCTCTTGATTTATTTAAAGGTCACCTAGTAGGTGCCTACTACACTGCACGAAGGCCCTGTCTTAGCAGCGATGCAAATCTACTCAAGGCTTGTAGGCACCTATGATCCTGCTATAACCGCCGCCTGTAGCGACCATTTTGAAATACGTGCAATGTCAATCAAGATCTACAAACAACAAAAATATTGAGTGCTAGGTAGACAAATGAGAAAGTAGCAGGTCTGCATTTAGTATTATTATTATCGCTCCCTCATTCTTAGGTTATCGCATTGCTTTGGTGGGGGGATATATGAATAAGGCGAGTTAGCAGGGTACGGCTGCACAATTGGATTATGGGGATTTTTCTACCAAATGAAAATCGTGTGAAGAATTCATGGGCGGGACCGAACTTCACTATTGAAATGGCCTATTTCAGTGGAACAGTAATCATAACTCGATCACGGTCGAGTGGCCCAATGGCAAGGCGTCTGACTACGAAGCTTACTTTCAGTAGCTCAGCAAATCAGAAGATTGTGGGTTCGAATCCCATCTTGATCACCAGTTTGCCTGGTGATATCGTCTAGTGGTTAGGACAACACGTTGTGGATGTGCAACCCACAAATAATACCGTGTAAACGCCGGTTCGATTCCGGCTATCGCCATTCTTTTTTCTTTTTTTCTTGCCCTTAAATAATGGCCATGGTTCTTTTTTATAGTAGGAAGAGGCTAGTAGTGGTTTATTTTTGGTGCCGTTCTCCAAAAGTCATGACTAAAATTTCTGATGAGGGGGATATGTACACAGGAGAGGTCCTCGAGATGCCAAGGCAAGGCATCGGAGTTCTCCTCACTTTTCTCCTGACCTACATGAGAGGGACTCCAGAAACAGCATACTAAAACAGAGACTTGGAGCAACTAAAAGTATCGGACGCTTAAAGCATGTAGAAGTCCGGTGGGAGGGCTCGTATTATGAACCAAGTTTTCCATTAGACTAGGCGGCATTTTGGGAACGGGAAGTGTTGTTTTGGCAGAATGAGATCACGATTCCGAAGCTCTAATAGACCTAAAGATCTTTCGAAAAAGTATATTACTAGACTGAGCTAGGGAAAAAAGAATAGAGAAAGAGAAGACGGACAAGGGTATGTGTGACCGTCTGGTGGACTATATTCCACACTGGATCGATCATATATCCGTTATAATCAGATTGAAAAAAGGGGGTCACTCGCGATCCACATAGCCCATATCATATGCCCTTAGGTTCCTACCGCCTTAAGGAATTGGGTCGAGGAGGGAAGACCAGAAGAGACCAATCGCACGAGCCACTATCAAAGGATAGGAGTGGTGTTGAAAAACTCTCTGGAATCTGGCGACGGAGGCCTAATCAGTCAGGGAATTCAGAACTCCCGGTAGCAACTTGGGAGACCTGCAAGTAGGTCTCTCTAGGACTTTACGTGGTGCTGGTGAGGATTGAGGATGAGAAGTTAACTATTCGTCCCCTGTTGTGACAAAGGGTGTTGAAAGAAGAAAGACGGAATATGACCTGTGATTCCGCGGTATGGAGCGAGGGAGAACATCGCAGAGAGTTGCGAGTCTAGTTCTGATGCGGAATGGATAAAAATGGATGAAAAAGCTGTAGATACTCTTCACATACACTAGAGAATAGAAACAGAAAAGATGGGAGTCGTTGCTGTTCTATCAATATAACAAATGATGGATCGGAATAAATGAGGACGCAAGAGTAAGAGCCGCCATCCCCCTCCCCTGTCTTCCCTTAGAACTAACCTGTAGCTATAATAATTATATGGATCTCAGGGAACAAGGAGAGAGTAATGATGGGCAGATTTGAACAGGTAAAGTCTTCTTGTGTTAGGAAGCTATCAAGAGATGTGAAGGGCAGGTAAGTCTTGTAGGGAGTGCCCCTAAAAATTGATGTGATTAAGATTAGATATAACGACTCGGTATTAGGTATCCAGCTTCCTAGACCACGTTATATCGTGTTGATTGACCTTCTTTCAGTACAACATTGTTACGTCTTGATGATGACTTCCTAAATGTCCATGTACCTACTTTTTCTTCTTATTGTTAGAATTGATAGTGAAATATAGTTTACCATAGGAAAACCAGTTCTATTCCTTTGATCCGGTGCCATGTCTTCCAATGATAACTATATTTTGGGGTTCAGATTACTAGGAAAGAGTTGGCTGTCTGTTTCCCAATTGGCGCTAACTAGCGGGATCATATATTTAAACATACTCTCCGTAAAAGAATAGACTAGTTCTTATAAATATCGAATCACCTTGGAAGAGTATATTGATTTCATTAATGTCTATTTGTCTAAGGATAGACTAGTAAGTCAACATCAAGACCAACCCGATATGTTCAACCTAGTTCCTGGATGAAATCAAATGCTAAGGAAATATATACAATTACCTATGTCCGTAAAGTTGAATAATAATTGGTTTTTCAATGCTAAACAACGTGTAGTCAATCTTTCTTAGGGATCGATTGTAGATAGTAGCAAGCGGTAGTCTCTTTACAAAGATTGGGAAAATATGTACTTAGTAGTAGCAACCTAGCAGATCAAGATTCAAAGGTGATACAATCCTGTTTAAGATAGCTAAGTAGAGAAAGGCTGGCCTAATAATGGTGCTGATAACCCCGATGAGATTATCTAGTACTAAATGTGCACTGAAAGAGCTAGTTGGGATAATATTAGTTTGCATACCTAGTGAGATGTGGAAAGATTGTATCACTACCTCCCGACCTCTAGCTAGGTGTGTTCCCTTGCACAACCTAGCGCTAATTATAGACAGCGAGGAGCATAAACACAGCACTAATGATGTTACCTGCACACATGGAGATACTATGACGAGAATGTACGTATCATTCATTTATTGCTTGAAAACATTGCCTATATACAGGACCTCTTATGTCACTATATGAAGCTATTCTGATCCATAGCTTTCTCTACTTTCGTTTCCCACCTCCTCTTCTGATTACAGCCTCCAATATATCGAGCAGAGTCGATGGCCGTCGGTGGCCTTCAGAGTACCAACAAACATAAAAAAGGTTCATTAGGGCTGCGTACTGACACAGTACAAAGTGCCCATCATGGTTCGATTCTACGAGTATGAGCTTCTTGTTGATGTCTATATTAATTCGTTTTTTTGCCATAGGCATTCCAAGTACCGCCGTTCTCACATCGTATACTTCCAATTTTACTTTTTACCCCTTTCCCTGCTGCCCATAGACGACGTAGAGAGCAAGTAGAAGAAGGTGGGACGAAGCTAAAGACAACGAAGATGAATAAGGAGAGCCGGATCGGTAATATAGACGTGGGAAGTATATGCTTCGAGTAGGTGTGCGCGATACACAGCATAATAAGTCACACTGTATAGCTCTAAATTTTACGTTGTGCTCTTATGGTATAATGCCGTGGTTGCCATGATGGACATATCGCTTCCAATTCAAGGACGATTCTCCCGTCAATGGTTTCTCACAGCGTCTAGTTAGGCCCCCTCGCTATATTTACAAAGTTTTATTAGCTTCTATATGTCTAAATCCTATCGAAAATGAAGATAAACCGTGCTACCAATCTATACTTAGTGGTTAAATGTTATATCATTACAGTTTTTAGTGCACGTATAATGTCTTGTTCCCTCTCCCCTCAAGTCATATGTATCTTTCATTTCACTAAATAATGTGAATTAGCGGCTCACGCTCGAATGATAACCCCCCATGGTATCATATATGTCGCATCACCCTGGGACCTGGATATTCTTAATCCTTCAAGTCTAATGATACCAGGGCAAAGGTGCGTCACTATTGATGCCCTAAATGAAGCCAGGTACTTTGCTACAGAGCTCGTGCTACACATGCATAAGACCTCAATATTGAGCGGGCATGCTTTTTACCGGGAGAAAACGGTTGAATCCACCAGCATCCGTGATCAAAAGAATGGTTCTAATGATCATCATACATCGTAGCTGATAGGAAATGTGTACGGGGAGAGAACCTTGCTTAAATACTATGTAGGTGATAAGGGGTATCTGTCGAGGTACAGGTACAAGGTGTATCCGCAGCTATATGTATATAAGGGACAAGTCCTCCCATCATCCAGAGATAGATGTTCACCTAATCAAGCAACCTCATAACCTCAATTCAACAAACCTAAATGCCTATTTACCAGTAGAATACGGCTAAGATCAACTGTGGCCTATTATGTAGTACGGAAATGATGAGATGAATAAATTACGGCAGAGAGCTGCTCACCCGAAGCGGTTGTGATACTTAATACTTCAAACAGGTCCAAGTGTTACCATACTTGGGGATTAGAATGGTAAAGGACGACCTTGGTACAGAGGTGCGATGATATATTGTTACACTGCCACTACGCCTATGGCGCTCTACTTTGAACCAAGCGTTTTGTTACCAATCGAGTTTATAATTATTACTGGAGACGACACAATATTCTCGAGTTCGTTACTATCTCCGTAGAACTCAAGATAACTGTCACAATCTATACAGCCTAATATTCAATCACCCCGTCTCCTGAAAAGAAAATTAAATAGGTTCCTCATAGTAATCCGTATTCTCCCAGTCCTCTACACCCACTATATTTTCCATGCGCATCCAGAATTAGTCCTTCGACTATTTTATTGCTGAAAACCCGATCGCCAGTATTCCTGAAAGGTTGTTTTTGGTACCATGTTTGTTCTCGGGTTTTAATGTTGTTATTCTTAAACGGAGAAGTTCTTGAATACAGGGGCGAAGCTAGTGTGTCTGCTTAACTAGCTTGTAGGAGGAGCTTTCCCCAATGGATGGCTTTCGGGGTCACTCTATAGTCTCTATTGAGACTAAAACAGTGGTTAGTTCCATTTGCAGTTAAGGGGTCTAGCGTGTGGAGCGGAATGGAGAATATTCGGATTGGCTTGTGCTGCATGCGACATCTACCAACTTAGTATTAAGTATTATGTACGCTGGTACACTACAGATGGATATGGATAGTAAATACTTAGTACTCTATACTATGATAAATACCTTAGCTGATTATCTAGTCAGGCGTACACGCACCTAATTCATTACCACCGCATAAATTGCCATCTTGATATTTATATACTTAATCACTACACACAACACTTATTAACTTCGAGTTTTGAGGCTAGAACTATAACTACGGTTAACTTAAGTAATATTTTCAGTGCCTATCTCGCATTTAAGTCCGGTTTGATGGCTGTATTAATCGACAAAACGGCCAGGCTATTTAACTGACAACTTCTCGAGTATCATTGTTTATGCCAGTCGTATTCCCACTTTTACTTTTCTTCTTCCCCATTCCTTTCCCTTTTTTTTTTTTTGGTCTTTATTGCTTCTATTTCCCCGCATATTGAATGTTAGCCAAATAAGAGTCCGAGTAGATTGAACTGTTGCTCATTGGCAAGCGAAGAACTGCATATAACGTAGGATTTTGTATTAATCGATATATATCGACATAGATAGGTACTTGATTTCCAATCAAAAGGGGTTGACATTGACACCACGTCGTAAAGTAAATAATAAACCCCCTTCGTAGCAACGTTGAAGCATACTTAAGGTAACCTAATCGTAGTAATTATCGCGCGCGGTCTAGCTGTTCACTAGTACCTAGGTAGGTTTGACGGATCGA